CTCGCACCGCCACAATCTCCCCCTCCCCCTTCAATTTCTTGCCACCAGCTACTCGAATCCGCCGGCTCACTCCACCATGTGGCGCGGGATGTGGAGCTTGGGCCGCCGCTCCGGCGGTAGCGACGACCCCGAGCGGCAGTGGTGCGTCAAAGCCGACGACGCGAGGAGGCGAGCCGCCCGTAAGTACACGAACCCCGACCTAGAACCGCTGTTGTCGCTCCTCCGCCGCAAGACGAAGGAGTACGACCACAGGCATGCGCGGGCAGCTCCTCCGCCGGGGGGGTCGAGCTCCCGTACGCCACTCACTCCGGTGAAAAGGGAGTCGGAGGAGCTCTCGTCACTCGCGGTGAAGAGGGCGCCAGAACCGGAGCCGGAGCGGCGGGGCGGTGACGTCGTGGGGTCGGAGGATTTCCTTCCATGGCGGAGGCAAACGTCTTCGAGGCCGCCATCGTCATGCACAGTGCGCGGGAGGAGGAGGAGGAGGCGGAGCAGCGCAGTCGATGGGAAGCCGACCTCGACGCAGTCCTCCTCAAGCAAGGGCTCGGGAAGGCGTAGGAGTTCGACGACAACCTCGAGCCATGGCGCCGCGAAGCCAAGGCGCATGACGACATCTACATCGACCTCATCCCCTTCTCCGACGATGACTAGCTGCACCGCCGCCGCAGGGTCACCACCGTACCCAGATGGCTCCAGTGAGCCAAATTTTTGCAGTAGGGTTTACTGTGACCGCCGCTCCTCCGATCTATTTTGTAAAAATAGGCTATGTATGAAATATGTATGATCGTCAAGAACTATGAACCCTACTAGTTCTACTGAAATTGTTTGATTTCTCGCGCGAATTTCTGATTTCAAAATTTACAGGTTCATTTTCGGTTTTTGTTCTGCCACGGCTGTTTTCGGCCTGTATCTGAGGTATTCCGTGAACTATAAACTCACTTTACAGGTCCGCAATATAAGAGCAACTCTAGCAGACCCCTTAAAACGCGCCAACCGTATAATAACCACTCGCTTATGGTTTCAAACGAAAAAAGTGGCCAGATCAGAAAACGTATGGCCCGGCGAACTATAAAAATAATTACGGGGCACGGAAAAACTTCCCCTTCAACCTTTAGATTCACGAGGTGGGAGGCTGGCCCGAGGATGCCCTGTATATGCGAAAGACCGTCGGCGGGAGTCCAACTGCCATCGAAAACTTCATAGCTCGAAAGACCGTCGGCGGGAGTCCAACTGTCATCGGAAACTTCATAGCTCGCTCCCCTGCCGCCGCCCGTCCGTCCTAGTCGCCGCCCCGTCTGTCCCCGGCCGCCACCCGTCCGTCCTGGGCACCGTCCCGTCCGTGCGGAGCTCTTGGATCAATCCGGACACGAATGAGCTAGCTAGCTGGATCCAGCCGGCCACAGCGAGCTAGCTAGCTCCCGGATCCATCCGACCACGAACGAGTTGCCTTCTGGATTGATTTGGCGACTACGAAGACGGAAGCTGACTATGAACACGGAAACAAACAAGAGGAAGAAAAAGACGTGGAGAAGAATATAAGCGAATATTCGCTTTATAGTTTTAGTTTAAAGGTTTGCTCGGCCGCGGTTAAAACCAACCCTTAAAATGTGTTTTCAGTTTCGCAGTTTAAGGGTTTGCTAGAGTTGCTCTAAGACTGCTCTAATTTAGAGCCACCATGACGCGAAGCCCACCGGCGGCTCATCGTTGACACGGAGAGCCCCGGGAGGCCGTACCGACGGCACGCCGCTGCTTGTTCCCACCGCCCCCTCCATCTGATCTCCCTGTCCCTCTCGCCCGCCCGCATTACACCTCCCGCCTCCAACGAGCAGCAGATTCATCAGCAGTTCGCTTTCTCTCCGTTCCGGCCTCTTGGCGCTGACGACTCCGCAAGCGGCGATGGGGAAGCCGCGGGCGGTGCTGGCCCTGGCTGCGGCGGCGGCGGCATTGCTCCTCTCCTTCTTGGCCGCCGCCGTAGGGGGGCAGGGCGCCGGGAGGATCCAAGGTATGGGTGGATGCGCGATGCACCTGATTGGTCTGAGAAATCCGTGGTTTCCATTGGTAGAGAATAGCATAGCATAGCATAGCGGGCAGAATAGCTTCGTCTAGCTCGGGATCTCTGACCCATTTCACTAGTCTGGTCTGTTGTAAGGCCTATTTCATATCAGATGCAAATGGATTATATAGATAGGTTTTTTTTTTTGAGGTGAGATTATAGATAGGTGGAATGGTAGTTTCTGTTGGTGTTCTAATCTACACCCAAGTGATTCGTCTTGTTTCTGGTTCAGTTCTAACCATCTTTTATTAAGCACCTGATGCTATTGACACTTTGTTGATTCAGTCAAGACATGTTTCTTGCTTACAGGGATCATGAATTCATGATTCATGCCATCTAGTCTAGGGTCAGATCTGCACCTTGCTTACCGGTCATAGTATCATACCACCATGCTTTCAATCAAAGTGCTATGTGATCATAAGCAATGCCCTCAAACTTGGTATATTCTTTCCTCCACATTTGGGCAAAACTAATAGATGTCCTCTGGCCAACAGAGTATAGGAAGTGCTGATGATGACTCTGCCAGGGGGCTCAAGGTGTATATGTATATCTATGGTCTCCCTGAAAAATACAACAAGCCGCTGAAGAAGGAACCTAGGTGCCTGAACTACATGTTCGCCATGGAGATCTTCATGGAACAGTTTCTGTTGCCGAGTGTGATCCAGATTTTAATCCCGAGGATGCAATTTGGTTGTATACATGCTATTCAGATGTGCAGCGCAATTGAGCAGATTACGACGAAATGACCTTACTGGAATAGATCAAGGGAGGGGATCATTTCTTTGTCACACACATGACTTTGGTGCTTGCTTCCGTTATGAGGTACAGACACGAGTTCAAATCCTTGTTATGGACCCATCCTCTTATAATAAGAAATTGTGTAATGCTGAGTACATGTGTTTCGAGCAACTGGACAGATCCAATTGCAGCACAGCACATGGGGCAATGGACCTTCTGTATACTCTACTGAATGGGCCAGTCTGACTTAATTACTTCTGTCTGCACATGTGCTTTGGCACTTTGCTTCAGATAATAATTTGTTTTCTTCTCTGAAAGACTGTCAGACTGCTCTTCATACTCATAACCAGCTGTCTAGTTGAAAATAACCACCTGTCATTCCATACCATATTTCCTTCACTGACATACAATGAATCTTGTTGGCTATATAAAGTTTCAAACACCAGTTCTATCTTTCTTTAACAAATTCTTCTAATGTAATTTCAGGAAGAGAAACCAATTGTACGAGGAGTAGGCATGCGCGGGTGTTTTTTGGTCATCTCTTCTCCCATGTATTCCCTTGTGCTCTGGTTAGTTTGAACCTATGTTGCAAGGGGCTGCAATGCCTATCGTAGGCAAAAGTGAAT